TAGGGTGCAAAGAAAGATACTGTTTGCCACTAAATTTTGCTGTTTCTAATATAGTGATTTTGCGGTTTTTTCCACAATCTGGAAAAAAAATTCCCACCAAAATTATTTCCAAAAAAATTTACTCCTCTGGCTAAAATATACATATACAGGGGCCCATCACTAGGAGTGTGCAAGTGCTCCATATTCTTGTCACGGTGTTTTCGCAGACTGATCTATTTTTAGTTTTCAATCGCAAATATTAGTTCCTGAAAAAAACAGAGACTTGTCGATTGGCAAAAAAACTTAGAGCCACACAATATGCATCATTGGAGACCCAGCAGCTGCTAGTTGGGGCAATGCAATATATTCAGTCAAGGGATAGTTTTGGGCAAAAATTTACTCCAAGAGTGGGAGAGCCCCTGGGAACTTACTCTCACCAAAGCAATTCCAGAAGTGTTTGTAACCCTTCCCACTGATTGGCCAATATCTTTGCAGTGTATTTTAACTGTGTGGAACCAAGCCGAGAAAAAAAATCTAGTAATCGTCGTTTCTCCCCTCGTAAGCCTGGTGAAAGACCAAGTCAGCCCGTTGTTGTCTCTGGACATAAGCGCTACATCGCTAAACAACAAAACGTCAGAAGCGGATAAAAGAAAAGTTGAAAGTGGACAGTTTTCAATCATTTATGGATCACCGGAGTCGTGGTTAGGCAACACACAATGGCGGAAAATGCTCACAAGTGAGACCTACAAAAATTCAGTTTGGGTCGTTGCTGTTGATGAAGCAAACGTTATTTGCCACTGGTAAGTTCTGTACGTTTTGTCTTTAATCGCTGCCAAAGATTGTGAAGAATTATGAAAATCAATCATGAAAATTTTTTTTTTCAAAAGGATTTTCATGATTGAACAACACCTGCAAAAACATCAACAATGACAACAACTTTATTTGGACTCCTACCTTTTTAAATTGATGCACAATTAAAGGTCAAAAAAACCAAAATCTAGACATTTTTTCTTAACGCATTTTAAAGCGATGAAATGTTAAGCAAAACATTTAACAGGAAACTTATGCTGAAATTTTTCTTTTTGAGCCATGAAAAGGAGTAAAAAAGTTAAAATTACAAAGATAGCCGATGGTTTCATGAAGACGTTTCCAAAATGGCCACGCAGTTTAACAGAAGGAATGGAGCTGAGACTCTGCTTTGTGACGTCACTGTTGCCTTGAACATTTCTGCGTTTCTGAGTCAGTGAGTAGTTCGTGGGGAAAGGATCTGAATACAAACCAAATTTTGCTTGGGAAATGGCTCGAGGAGTACGCTGTAAACATTACACCATATCAATTCAAACCCACGGCTTCTGAATCGGATGGTGAGAGTTCCACTGACTCATCCGACAACAATACTTGTGATGCGATCAAAGAGCAAATTGGTCAAGTTGACTGGTGAGAGTTTGTTCATTGCAGTGTACGGCCACTTAATATTTTCACTGTTCACCTTGTTATTCCGGCATTTATATAAAGTGAGGCTTCATCAATCAATCAATGAGGCTACATGAACTAAATGAGCTCAATTGCAAACAAAGAGGATTTCAAATAAGTTTAAGTGGCTTAAGTTTTGATCTACATTTCGGCTTATTCAGAGATAATTTCGACTGTTGAGTTTAGTTTTACAATTGTCCTATTTTTTTTAACTCAGTGCCTGCATATTTTGATTCTATGATTTTGTTGACATGGTCAGGAGAATCGTAGGTACAGTGCATCTACATGTACTTGTCAAATAAAGTCCAGTGAATGTCAGAGTACGTGTAATAACATTTTGTGGGGGTCTTTCTTGTCAAATCCAAGAGTAGTATCATAAATCAATAATACTTTGACACTATTTTGGGAGTTAAACTATATTTTATCACAAAGCTCTTGCAGTTTTGTAGTCTGTTTCTCATAGTGGAGGAAAATATATATACTAGACAGCAAATAGCATGGTGTGAGCATATTAGATCACAGTATTTTCAATGTTTATTACTTTAAACAGGTGCATTTGTGGAAACTGTACTCCCATGCAAACTGGGCAGGAGAGTGTTTGTTGTTGAGAAAACTCAAAGTCCTGCGATAAGATACCACCTGCCATGTCGTGCATAAGAGATAATGAAAATTTTACTGCCGTTTGCACAAATCCAGCTGTCATTGAGACAGCATTTAATCAATACTTAGAAAATGAACGTCCTATCAACAATGAACCACTAAATGAGTATGTATACATGTAACTTCTATGATGGTTTTATTTTGAAAATGATCTTGAACAAGAAGTGCGTTTGCAGTGTTTTGGAACTGCACTCCTAAGTGGTGCAATTGTCCCTTATTTACTAAGTACAGTCTATAGCCCAGCTGGGAATGTTTTTTGAGTTCTTTAAATTTCAGTAATGTGGGGTACCCAAAAAATATATATAAATGGGTATCGGTGTATTTAATACTAGTATTAGAGGGTCATGTATCAAAATTATGTGCAATTTGGTCCCTATATGGGTTCATATTTCAGTTTGTGGCCTGGTGCACCCCTGCCAAAAATGTGGTTACATCCCTTCTTTTTAAAGTTATGACATGTGCACTTAGGACAATATAGACCCTTTCCTATGACTTGTTTACAATACTTTAAATGATTATTTCTGGCAACTCAACTTGTTTTACTGTATGAAAGGAAAACATTTACTTTTGTGTTGATGAGTAATCATCCTCATCAAAAATTTCCCCTTTATTTATAATTTTTTTTGTGCTGAGTCTCACACGGGGCTTGGAAAAAAGTGTTGTCTGGTCGTCCTTAACAAGTAGATTTTCCTGCCAGGCAAGTAACTTTTCAGTCTTACTTGCCCAATGGGCAAGGGCCCAGGCAAGTTGTTTGCAAACTAAGTGAAACGAGATACTTGCTGCGTGTACCCAGACAGTTGTGATACTGAGAAGCACCAGCTATATTGCAATCGAGCTAAATGTTCTGCATTTGAAGTCGTACAAAATACAATTGAATCGATGTGCTCAAGCTGTTCTGCCTTTGATTGCGTTTCTTAGAGTCGATTAATAGCTTGATACTAGTTTGCAGGTCTTTAGGGCGTGAAATGAGTCAAGGTCTTTATATCAACTTATAGATGTTTCAGTCTATTTTCCTTAATCTTTGATGTCGTCGACGTCGTTCTTGTTTTTTGCGTTTCCCAAGCAAGAGGGACATTTTGAATTTCAGAGTTTTGGCGTTGCGTGACATTGAGCTACAAATGCGTTTGTCGAAAAGGTAAAGGTAAAAGCTAAAGTGTGCGTGCGACCCAATGGCCCATCAGGCCGGAGGTTATCCCGGTTTCTGTAGCATGAAGTGACTAGGAGTATTTCTACTTCCCCCTGGATGGGATGCTAGTCCANTGCCCAAGAACACAACACAATGTCCCCGACCAGGGCTCGAACCCCGGACCGCTCGATTTGGAGATGAGCAGCAAAAAATGACGTGGCATTCTCTCGACCAATCAGATTGCAGCATTTGCTGACGAATAAAAAAGTGGGCGTGGTTTGAAAAAATTGATGATGTCACAGGTCAAATGTCCAAATAAGGGTAATTAGCTGCTCGCGCGCGTCAAGGTCAAAGGTCAGGGGTAGCCGTAGTCGTCAGCTGCTCGTGCGTGGTCAAAGGTCAGGGGTAGCCGTAGTCGTCAGCTGCTCGTGCACGGTCAAAGGTCAGGGGTTGCCGTAGTCGTCAGCTGCTCGTGTGCGCGTCAAGGATTTTTGAGGAGTGCATAGCGCGTAAAAGGTCTCAACTGACACGATTTAAATGTGAATAAGTTTTTAATTATAAAAGTGACAAATGTTTTTACATTAGAGAAAAATCGGATCTAATGTGAATAAATTTTGTTATGAAAGTAACAAATGTTTTTACATTTGAGAAACATCGGGTCTAATGTGAATAAATTTTGTCATAAAAGTAACAAAATGGTTTTATAGATTTGAAAAACGTCGGATCTAATGTGAATAAACGTTTTTTAATTATAAAGTAACAAATGGTTTTATACATTCGAGAAATACCGGATCTAATGTGAATAAATGTTTTGTAATTACAAAGTAACAAATGTTTTTATATTTGAGAAACATCGGATCATTGTCCGTTGATCAAAATGTGAATAAATTTTTTTTTTACTATTGATCAGTTCGTGGCGGAGCTACAACAGCTCCATAAGGGTCTCCACGTTGTCCATGTCGGCATCGTCTAATTCAGTCGGTCAGTTCCACTGGTAACCGTAAGGGTAGGACTGGAAGGTCTGGCAATCGACGACACGTTTATCAAAGACCAGTCCGTACTGTTTGGTGCGGGGTCCCACTCGGATCTGTTTGCTGGCGGGATCACGAGTGAAGAAGTAGGGGTTGACGATGGGAATGTTCCCTAATTGGTCGAGCGGATTGGTCAACTCTTCCAGTAGGTTTTCTCTCATGACGTCATAGTTGAGTTGTTGGAAGCCGCACACACTGAGAGTGAACCCTCGCACTTTGCAGCAGACTTTGCCGAGTTTGGTCTTATAGCCATAATTTTTGGGTCCGGCCGAAGTGAAGTCAACGATGTAATCGTCAGCGTCCAGCTTGTTGGTCATGTCGCCCAGGGGAATGTCGGCTTGACCGGGTTTGTGGGAGTAGACGACAGAATCGGTGTCGAAGTACAGCACTTGTTGCTTCAGTTGGTCAAGATACAAATAGAGCTTGAGACGGGCCCAGCAGGCGGTGAAGGCGGCCACGAAGATGTTGACGCGCTCGTTATCGATTTGGTTCTCGCGCAGGTCTAGGTAATCTATTTCGAGCACGTCGTTGGAGCAGATCTGGATAGCTTGGATGTCGTGAAAGCTGTTGGATACCAAACCGAAGAGTTGCGCTGGCAATGTGGCAGTTTCGGTGTGTTTCTTGTGGAGGTTTTCTCCGAACTTGCCCCAGAAGGAGTTGAGCATGAGTTTGGCCATGGCTTTCCGGCCGGGATTTTTCTGGATGATGGCAGTGTCGAGGGAGATGCCTTCTCATTCTTTGTATTGGCGCACGTAGAGTAATTTGTCGTCTGGGGTGAGGCAACAGCTGGGGTACCCAGCAGATTCTTGTTTGATTTTTAGCCAGGTGTTGACATAGTCGGCAAAGAGACCCTTGCGTCTTTGCTTTGGGGGAAAATGCCACACCTCGTGAATGTGCAGGACGATGTACCCCTGTTGAACAGCTTCTTGAATTTCAGGCGTGCACCAAGTTCCGCGCAAGGCGCATTGAGTCTCCGTGTGCGAGCACCTCCACAATTTGTCCCGCTGAGGAAGTGGCATTTGGTCTTGGACACAGGAGCGGCACAGAGGAAAGCTGAGTTTACCGGTCTGGCGATGCAGTAGCACGGGATGGTAAAGGTGTGGAGGTGGAAGGATGTCAATGTAGGCCGTGCCGAAGTAGTGGTGGATGTCTTGGTCGGTGGGGTTGGTGAGGATCTCAGGATGTCCAACGGGGTATTCGCAAGTCTTGTTGACCCATGGGTACAAGGAAGTCACGTCCCCGTATTTGATTTGTTTGGCCTGGTTCTGGTCAACGGAGTGGTGAAGACGCACGGCACTGGTTCTGCCACTGAAGAAGGCATTGTGCGGTTCTAGGGGGTCCACTTTCTGGTAGGTGGCCAAGAATCGTTGGAGGGCCTCGTTGGTCTTGACCGGCCGATCTCAATCGCACTCCCACATGATCTTGAGATGGTAGCCGTGCTGCTTGAGAAGGGCCTGTTTCTTTAGCGTGTGCTCGTAGACTTCTTCTAGGGTGCGATCGGTGTGGCAGATGGGATATCTGTCCCGTTGGCGGGGGAAACAGCGAGGACACCCGTGCCAGAGACAGCCGTGGAATTGGTACACAGTGTTGTTGTGTACATCCAGGCCATCTACCAGGACATTTGCCACTCGTTGCTCACCCCCATTGTCGGCATGCTTCATGTGGTCTGCACGAGGCTCGTCGTGGTTGGGGCTGTGACAACGAAGGTGTTCCTGCCATGCTAGCCAATTAAAGGCCTTGGCGGACTGGTTGGATTGAGCCCCGTGCCAGCCGCCAGGAGGTTCAGAGGCGATGGTGTCGGGAGTGAGTAGTTTCTTGCACCAGAACCGGTGGCATGAAGAGGCGATCGTGTAGCATTTTTCCATGGGGTTAAAGCTGGCCTTTTGCTTAAACTGCTCTTGGAATTTCTGGCAGCCCGCTTTGAGGAGCTTGACGTCGCTGATGCAGTAAGCCTCCATGTCCCTTTTCAGATGGAAGGTGTAGTTATTGTGGACCTTGTTGGCATACCAGCGCTCGAATTCGAATTTTTTCTCGGCGGACATACTGTCTGGATTGTAGCTGGAGGCTGGTGGCATGGGTCCCCGGTACTCTTGATTTTCTAGGGTGTTGGAGATGAGGGAAAAAACCCTTGGTGAATTCTTGGATGCCGAAGGTGGCGGGAAAGTTGGCCAGTGGCATGGGAAGAAAGCAGAGCAAGTCCTTGAAGGTCAGGCGGTCCGTCTTGAAGGAGAGGATTTTGGTACCGATGGTGATCTGGTTGGTGACTTCTCGGTGATGATGGTAACAGTAGTCAAGGAGAAACATGCCGTCGTAGCCCTTGAGGTTGTGGAAGATGACGATGACGTCCCAATCGTCAGTCTTGGTCCATGGCTATTGCCTCTACTGGTAGAAGAATTGGGTGGTGCAGTCGGGTCCGTAAAAGGACACTTCTTCGTAATCTTCGTCCGTCTCAGCGCAGAGGAGGATGGGCGATTGCACTCCCTCCTGGTCCACGGTGGCTTCGTAATCGGCATAGACCTGGAGAGGAGGATCTCTGTCTACCACCACATGACGATTGGGATCACGCGCCAAGGGTTCGCTAAAGGGACGGCTGTTGACCTGGTCGTGATTGACCCTCTTGGTTTTGGGTTGGTCTTCTTTGGGGATGCATTGGATAAAGCATTTGTGACTAGACAGCATGACCTGTTTGCCGCAAATGCGGCACTCGCCCTTTCCGCACACGTGTTGTGGAGCACGATGATTGCCACCGCGACGCACTTTATCGCCTAGTTGGTAGACATGACAACAGTCTGGGCACTTTTTGTGGGTGTTGAAGATGGATTTGATTTTCGGGCCCCGTAGTAACAGGTGGGAGACTAAGCATTGGTCTCTGAAGAAGTCACGATGGCAGAGGGTGCATAGTTTAGAAGGATGCGGAAACTTGTCGGTCTTTTTGGCTTCGATGTAATCGGGACAGTCCTTTCTTTTGCAGGTGGGGCACCATTTGCCTTTACACGGATGATTTTTAATGTCGTTGTGGTCGTAGCTGCGGTTGCATTTGTGGCAAAAGTACGATTTGCTGAGGAACCCGCCGAAGGAATTGCAGCCGTTGTAGAGGCCAGCCTCCTTGATGAGAAGAATGCGCTTGTCCGAGTCTACGGGTTCTGCGTAAATGATCATGTGCCGCGGGTCGATGGACAGGACCTTGATCTGGTACCCGCGTAGTGCCGCCTGGAACATGTCAAGTTCTTTTAGGCTGCAAGGTCCTTCAGGGATGTTAGCCAAGTGGTGGAGTTCCTTGGCCAATTGCTCTTGGACAGGGCATCCCTGTTTGAGATTGTGATAATTGTGATCTGGAGCATTGCTGTCGGTGTCAGCCAAGGCTTTCATGGTGACGATGGCGCGTGCGCAGCAGAGTTGGTCTTTGTTTTTTATGGTCACGCGTCACCGTTTGACGATGCCCCGGACGGCGGCTTTGCTGGGTTGGTATCGCTTGCCGTGACCACTACCGGGAGTCTGGATGAAGGTGGTCTCCATGGTGAAGGTGTCGTCCGGGCTGAAGTCCTGGTTGGAGTTGAGTTTGGCCGCAAGAGACTGGAGATAAGTGTCCAGTCTTTGGCTGCCTTCTTGGAATTCGAGCACGCTGAAGGTGGCGGATTGGAAGGCGTGCGTGAAGGCGCTGGACTCCATGGTGATATGGACGGTGGAGTGGGGAGTCAGGCTGGGATCCTGGTCGATTTGTCGCTGGATGCATCATTGCAGGGCGCTGGTCAGTTCTTGGCCCAGGTTGTCCCTAGCAGTCACATCTCGGTGTTGTTTGAGAGTGGCTTCATATCTACGTTTGTTCACCATGTGTCTCCAGTTGCGTGGGGCGCCTACAGGTCGCAGTTCAAAGTCTAGGAGATGGGTGGTGGCGCCGCTGCCATATTGCGTGTCGTCATCATCCGAGAAGGCTTGCTCGTGTGATCTTTTACTGTTTTCGTTTAAGATCTGGTCGATGGCCGGATCGAAGATCCAGTCATTGTCGTCGTCATCGTCGTCGTGGACTTGGTCCAGAGAACGAGTGCGATGTGGAACGTTGAGTCTGGGCGTGGGCACTGTGGAGAGTGACCGACTTCGTCTTGGAGTCTGCAGACATGAGGACACACTGATTGAGGACACGTACAATGCTTTTTTTTAATGAGGTCAAGCACAAATGTTTTTTATTGGCTTATAACACATCCAATCATACAAGCATACTTCTCTCGTCATATACATTGTCCATGGCGTGAACTAAATTGAACCCTAACCATGCTTTCTTTTTCTCATTACGACAGTTTACATAACAACCATGGACGGTAGTGTGATGGGGAATGAATGGTCTGTAAAACGCTATACATTGGGGTCTATTGCATTTAAACCATTTTACTTCTATGTGACCGTGTCCCCATTCTCTTTTCAGATTAGTGTAATATAAAATGTCTCTAAGAATCTTGCGACAGTCTGTTCCCTCTTCGGTCAATGATATGTTGCCAGGTAGCCAACGAAAGCACATAACACTGTATTTCTCGGGGTAGTCTATCCCAGTGACTCTGAAAGAGATTTATTATATCTGTATAAGTTGTATTTAGCACTGCGTAAACCGATGGGGTAGAGGAGCAACTTTACAAAGGGGGCGCGTTCCATAGCAGCTTCGTAAGTGTTGACTATACACGTTTTTTGAGGTTTATCGTCAGTGTAACATCCGTATATTTTCAAATGTTGAAATTGTTCCTTCTTTCCTCGACAAAAGGGGAAACCACATCGACATACAACATTCTTAATGTGTCCTATGCCCCATTCTTCCTTCAGTTTTGCATAGTCTAGGATTTCTTGGTGAAGACTGCGTAACAGTTCATTATTTCTGCGGACGAGTTTGGGTTGCCAGGTAGCCAAGGAAAGCACGTAATCCTGTATTTTGGGTGGTAACCCATCCCAGTGACTCTGTAAGAACCAATCAGACATCAGCAGAGAACAAGAACGATTTTTTCTCATCTACATCATTCAAGGCATCTTTAACGCTGCACCCTAAATACAGTTTCTTTAGTTCATTATGGAGACTGACATAATGACCGTAGATATCCATGTGATCGGACATAAATCACCCGTATAACAATTTACAAACGGTTAGATAACATTTTCGCTTTTTTATTTCTACGTGACCATATCCCCAGGCTGTCTTTAATCTTGCATAATCCACAATTTCTTCATGAAGCCTGCCCAATAGTTCCTTCCTTCTCCGATCAATAATGTGTTGCTGCATGGCTAGCGAAATCACAGAACACTGTATTTCTGTGGGTAGCCAATCCCAGTGACTCTTTTCAGTCTAGAAATAGTAAAGTGGACTTAGCGTTGTCAATTCTCTACCCTAAAAAAAACATTTCTCTCTCGATCTCACTTTCGCGTCTGTCAATGAGACTCTTGGATTTTTGGGCGGCAACCAATCCCAGCAACTCTATCAAATGAATTGTATTGACGGAAATAAATTGAAGTATCTAACTCGCGAAACTTGGGTGGTTTCGGTCTAAACAACCACTGTTCATATTTTCTCGTTTCTGCATTGACTATTTCACGCTCCCTTTTCTCCTCAAAGGCGAGTTGCAACTCAGCGAGTGAGATAATGTAGGCTTGGATTTCGGGTGGCAACCAATCCCAGCTACTCTATGAAAAGAAAGGTGATGAACAAGGCGTGACAAAAGGTGTCGTACGAATCTCAAGTCCAAAACAAATGTCTAGTGGGGGTGTGACCAGACTCAGTCCAAAATGGCCACGAGCGCACTTAGCATGCACAACAAGTGACAGAGTGGGCAGTACAACTTCTCAGCCATCATAGCTTTGTTCAATTGATCACCGAGTGCCTTGGTGAAGCAATTGTAATGAACAAAGTAATGGCAACACTTGGTTCGAGTGGGAATCTCAGTACTAAGGATGACTTGGGCGCATAGGGTGCACGTTAAACTGTCCATTTTTTTAGATACTCACTGCTTCATACAGGTCCATAGGGCGATTCGTCTCATCGTCGGTCAGCTCAGCCATGATCAGCGCTCGTGGCAAGTGTACAATTTTTTTTCAGGCCGCTCCTTTTATTAATACGTGTGCGTCAGCGGCTTGCGTGGCGTCATCTCGCGTGCGCGGTCAAAGGTCAGGGATAGCCATAGTCGTCAGCTGCTCGCATGCGCGGACAAAGGTCAGGGGTAGCCATAGTCGTCAGCTGCTTGCGTGCAGTCAAAGGTCAGGGGTAGCCGTAGTCGTCAGCTGCTCGCTTGCACAAAAAAAAGGGAGGACCTGGCCGAATTAAGGGGATATGGGCATTAGCGGACGTATAAAGTTTTTACTACTGTGTGCGTGCTGGGGACTAATTAAAAAAGCATTTAAAGCCAAGATTATAACAGAGATGATAGCAAAAACACTATTTGCTTATTACATATAATTAAGGACAAGGTGTAAAATATACAATTGCAAAACTTGTGTGCAACAGTATTACAGGAATGATTTTACATGATTCATCCTTTTGAAGGCATCTTCAAATTTGTCGATGGCTAACAAAAGATGGTGCTTTCATCCTTTGTCTTCGTAATAGCCGCTGATACGTAGTCTGTTCTTGGCATTTTGCAGTCTTAGGCCACCTAGGCCCCAGGCCTCTTGTACGTGCATATATAGGCAGATTTCTTTGTTTATTTTAGTTAGCAGTTCTTGTCTTCGCTGCTCATGGGCAAGTTGACTTTCAGCCAACTGGATAATGGACTCTTGAAGTTCTGGCGGTAGGCAGTCCCAGTAACTCATCTGTTTTTTATACCAATCGAAAAAAAAATTAGTTTAAGGGGAGGGAGGGTGACACAACAACTAGGGAAGGGCAAGAAAATGCTGGTGACGCCATTGGAGCACGTGATGAGCTGATGCCAGCCTAGAAGAGCTCGTGGTTTTGGCATAACGTGCAGTGAATTCGAGTAGACGGGCAGGTTTTTTTTGAGCGGTGCAAAAAAAACATGTATGGTTAAACCACTGTTTGCGAAATGGCTGAAATTACTGGAAGAAGAAACAAACCCTGAGTTTGACTGTGCAGGTGAGTTTTTGTTTCAGCATGTTATTTCTCTCCAACGAAGAGGGAGAGACCCGAGTGCTCGGTGTTGAATGGAAGTGAAAAGCTTGGCACTTGCTCGAACAAAACTACCCAGTAGGTTTTTTTTAATATACTTGCGGTTAACAAGAAATGAAAAGCCAGTCCGTCACCTTGTTCTAACTAATGTATGGAGTGAAACTAAGCCGGTCTCAACGAAATAGGTGAGTTATTAGTGTTTTCCGTGGGTTGTCGGCCATTTGTGACAGTGTGCGCGCTCGAGAAAAAAAGTCCGTTTGTAGTTTTGACTGACATTGCTTTAAAACAGATTTTTAGAACCTCATTGTAAAGGTTACTGAATCTCCTTCCATGGTTACATGGGGTAGTAATTCCATGAAATTGAGTCCGAACCAATGCAGCCAAGTTGTACAATTTCTTGAAATTGGGTATTGCTTCTTGAAATGGCTGCTGAATTCCCACTCGCCCACGCTTCGACTCATTGGCATTTATTTCGTTCTAAATCCTAGGGTGAAGAAAAAACCCGGTAAAATTCTGTTATTTTAAAAAGAGTTAACTTCAATCGAGAATTTCCACAGGGGCCTTACTTGGATCAACTCGGCTTTCATGCCCGGAACGCGTTTGAATCGGCCCACCAGTAGACTTTGAATGTGAGTTGGTGTTAGTTTTTGTTTACAGCAAGGGCACTTGATGGAATTTCCCAGCCAAATCCATTCTTCCAAGCAAATGGTGTGTATGTTAGCTTGGCAGCAGGGTAGTCGCTCCCCTTTGGTTTCCAAACATACTGGACAGACTCCTGACTGAAAAAAAACCTGAAAGAAAAAAAAGGTTTGGTGAATTGACTTGTTTATTTGCCTTTTACAGCTAGTCAGCGTTGCCGGTGGCGAAGATGTCGAAAAAACTGTAAGTAGCTCACTCATTTTTTTTATATAAATATTGTTTGTACTGGACCAGTCGTGGGAATGTTTGGCTTTCGAACTCGTTTCATTTTGTTCGTGCAGAACCTACTGAGAGAATGATTCATTTTAAAATAAACTTTTTGTCTTTTATCGACTTATGTCCAGACCTCGTAAACTGATTATAAAAAAATTGGTTTTGGCAGATTCCGGTAACCTGAAAGAGCGGGAAAAAAAATAAGCCGTGGTGTGTGGCGTCAGCGCCAATCGAGAAAAATTTGGGATTTTCAAGTGGCTTTTTTTTCGGTAAGAGTAAAAAACATTCGAACTCAACCCAGTTGAATCTGACACAGAAGTTGTTTNTAGACCTGGAGAGGAGGATCTCTGTCTACCACCACATGACGATTGGGATCACGCGCCAAGGGTTCGCTAAAGGGACGGCTGTTGACCTGGTCGTGATTGACCCTCTTGGTTTTGGGTTGGTCTTCTTTGGGGATGCATTGGATAAAGCATTTGTGACTAGACAGCATGACCTGTTTGCCGCAAATGCGGCACTCGCCCTTTCCGCACACGTGTTGTGGAGCACGATGATTGCCACCGCGACGCACTTTATCGCCTAGTTGGTAGACATGACAACAGTCTGGGCACTTTTTGTGGGTGTTGAAGATGGATTTGATTTTCGGGCCCCGTAGTAACAGGTGGGAGACTAAGCATTGGTCTCTGAAGAAGTCACGATGGCAGAGGGTGCATAGTTTAGAAGGATGCGGAAACTTGTCGGTCTTTTTGGCTTCGATGTAATCGGGACAGTCCTTTCTTTTGCAGGTGGGGCACCATTTGCCTTTACACGGATGATTTTTAATGTCGTTGTGGTCGTAGCTGCGGTTGCATTTGTGGCAAAAGTACGATTTGCTGAGGAACCCGCCGAAGGAATTGCAGCCGTTGTAGAGGCCAGCCTCCTTGATGAGAAGAATGCGCTTGTCCGAGTCTACGGGTTCTGCGTAAATGATCATGTGCCGCGGGTCGATGGACAGGACCTTGATCTGGTACCCGCGTAGTGCCGCCTGGAACATGTCAAGTTCTTTTAGGCTGCAAGGTCCTTCAGGGATGTTAGCCAAGTGGTGGAGTTCCTTGGCCAATTGCTCTTGGACAGGGCATCCCTGTTTGAGATTGTGATAATTGTGATCTGGAGCATTGCTGTCGGTGTCAGCCAAGGCTTTCATGGTGACGATGGCGCGTGCGCAGCAGAGTTGGTCTTTGTTTTTTATGGTCACGCGTCACCGTTTGACGATGCCCCGGACGGCGGCTTTGCTGGGTTGGTATCGCTTGCCGTGACCACTACCGGGAGTCTGGATGAAGGTGGTCTCCATGGTGAAGGTGTCGTCCGGGCTGAAGTCCTGGTTGGAGTTGAGTTTGGCCGCAAGAGACTGGAGATAAGTGTCCAGTCTTTGGCTGCCTTCTTGGAATTCGAGCACGCTGAAGGTGGCGGATTGGAAGGCGTGCGTGAAGGCGCTGGACTCCATGGTGATATGGACGGTGGAGTGGGGAGTCAGGCTGGGATCCTGGTCGATTTGTCGCTGGATGCATCATTGCAGGGCGCTGGTCAGTTCTTGGCCCAGGTTGTCCCTAGCAGTCACATCTCGGTGTTGTTTGAGAGTGGCTTCATATCTACGTTTGTTCACCATGTGTCTCCAGTTGCGTGGGGCGCCTACAGGTCGCAGTTCAAAGTCTAGGAGATGGGTGGTGGCGCCGCTGCCATATTGCGTGTCGTCATCATCCGAGAAGGCTTGCTCGTGTGATCTTTTACTGTTTTCGTTTAAGATCTGGTCGATGGCCGGATCGAAGATCCAGTCATTGTCGTCGTCATCGTCGTCGTGGACTTGGTCCAGAGAACGAGTGCGATGTGGAACGTTGAGTCTGGGCGTGGGCACTGTGGAGAGTGACCGACTTCGTCTTGGAGTCTGCAGACATGAGGACACACTGATTGAGGACACGTACAATGCTTTTTTTTAATGAGGTCAAGCACAAATGTTTTTTATTGGCTTATAACACATCCAATCATACAAGCATACTTCTCTCGTCATATACATTGTCCATGGCGTGAACTAAATTGAACCCTAACCATGCTTTCTTTTTCTCATTACGACAGTTTACATAACAACCATGGACGGTAGTGTGATGGGGAATGAATGGTCTGTAAAACGCTATACATTGGGGTCTATTGCATTTAAACCATTTTACTTCTATGTGACCGTGTCCCCATTCTCTTTTCAGATTAGTGTAATATAAAATGTCTCTAAGAATCTTGCGACACAGTCTGTTCCCTCTTCGGTCAACGATATGTTGCCAGGTAGCCAACGAAAGCACATAACACTGTATTTCTCGGGGTAGTCTATCCCAGTGACTCTGAAAGAGATTTATTATATCTGTATAAGTTGTATTTAGCACTGCGTAAACCGATGGGGTAGAGGAGCAACTTTACAAAGGGGGCGCGTTCCATAGCAGCTTCGTAAGTGTTGACTATACACGTTTTTTGAGGTTTATCGTCAGTGTAACATCCGTATATTTTCAAATGTTGAAATTGTTCCTTCTTTCCTCGACAAAAGGGGAAACCACATCGACATACAACATTCTTAATGTGTCCTATGCCCCATTCTTCCTTCAGTTTTGCATAGTCTAGGATTTCTTGGTGAAGACTGCGTAACAGTTCATTATTTCTGCGGACGAGTTTGGGTTGCCAGGTAGCCAAGGAAAGCACGTAATCCTGTATTTTGGGTGGTAACCCATCCCAGTGACTCTGTAAGAACCAATCAGACATCAGCAGAGAACAAGAACGATTTTTTCTCATCTACATCATTCAAGGCATCTTTAACGCTGCACCCTAAATACAGTTTCTTTAGTTCATTATGGAGACTGACATAATGACCGTAGATATCCATGTGATCGGACATAAATCACCCGTATAACAATTTACAAACGGTTAGATAACATTTTCGCTTTTTTATTTCTACGTGACCATATCCCCAGGCTGTCTTTAATCTTGCATAATCCACAATTTCTTCATGAAGCCTGCCCAATAGTTCCTTCCTTCTCCGATCAATAATGTGTTGCTGCATGGCTAGCGAAATCACAGAACACTGTATTTCTGTGGGTAGCCAATCCCAGTGACTCTTTTCAGTCTAGAAATAGTAAAGTGGACTTAGCGTTGTCAATTCTCTACCCTAAAAAAAACATTTCTCTCTCGATCTCACTTTCGCGTCTGTCAATGAGACTCTTGGATTTTTGGGCGGCAACCAATCCCAGCAACTCTATCAAATGAATTGTATTGACGGAAATAAATTGAAGTATCTAACTCGCGAAACTTGGGTGGTTTCGGTCTAAACAACCACTGTTCATATTTTCTCGTTTCTGCATTGACTATTTCACGCTCCCTTTTCTCCTCAAAGGCGAGTTGCAACTCAGCGAGTGAGATAATGTAGGCTTGGATTTCGGGTGGCAACCAATCCCAGCTACTCTATGAAAAGAAAGGTGATGAACAAGGCGTGACAAAAGGTGTCGTACGAATCTCAAGTCCAAAACAAATGTCTAGTGGGGGTGTGACCAGACTCAGTCCAAAATGGCCACGAGCGCACTTAGCATGCACAACAAGTGACAGAGTGGGCAGTACAACTTCTCAGCCATCATAGCTTTGTTCAATTGATCACCGAGTGCCTTGGTGAAGCAATTGTAATGAACAAAGTAATGGCAACACTTGGTTCGAGTGGGAATCTCAGTACTAAGGATGACTTGGGCGCATAGGGTGCACGTTAAACTGTCCATTTTTTTAGATACTCACTGCTTCATACAGGTCCATAGGGCGATTCGTCTCATCGTCGGTCAGCTCAGCCATGATCAGCGCTCGTGGCAAGTGTACAATTTTTTTTCAGGCCGCTCCTTTTATTAATACGTGTGCGTCAGCGGCTTGCGTGGCGTCATCTCGCGTGCGCGGTCAAAGGTCAGGGATAGCCATAGTCGTCAGCTGCTCGCATGCGCGGACAAAGGTCAGGGGTAGCCATAGTCGTCAGCTGCTTGCGTGCAGTCAAAGGTCAGGGGTAGCCGTAGTCGTCAGCTGCTCGCTTGCACAAAAAAAAGGGAGGACCTGGCCGAATTAAGGGGATATGGGCGTTAGCGGATGTATAAAGTTTTTACTACTGTGTGCGTGCTGGGGACTAATTAAAAAAGCATTTAAAGCCAAGATTATAACAGAGATGATAGCAAAAACACTATTTGCTTATTACATATAATTAAGGACAAGGTGTAAAATATACAATTGCAAAACTTGTGTGCAACAGTATTACAGGAATGATTTTACATGATTCATCCTTTTGAAGGCATCTTCAAATTTGTCGATGGCTAACAAAAGATGGTGCTTTCATCCTTTGTCTTCGTAATAGCCGCTGATACGTAGTCTGTTCTTGGCATTTTGCAGTCTTAGGCCACCTAGGCCCCAGGCCTCTTGTACGTGCATATATAGGCAGATTTCTTTGTTTATTTTAGTTAGCAGTTCTTGTCTTCGCTGCTCATGGGCAAGTTGACTTTCAGCCAACTGGATAATGGACTCTTGAAGTTCTGGCGGTAGGCAGTCCCAGTAACTCATCTGTTTTTTATACCAATCGAAAAAAAAATTAGTTTAAGGGGAGGGAGGGTGACACAACGACTAGGGAAGGGCAAGAAAATGCTGGTGACGCCATTGGAGCACGTGATGAGCTGATGCCAGCCTAGAAGAGCTCGTGGTTTTGGCATAACGTGCAGTGAATTCGAGTAGACGGGCAGGTTTTTTTTGAGCGGTGCAAAAAAAACATGTATGGTTAAACCACTGTTTGCGAAATGGCTGAAATTACTGGAAGAAGAAACAAACCCTGAGTTTGACTGTGCAGGTGAGTTTTTGTTTCAGCATGTTATTTCTCTCCAACGAAGAGGGAGAGACCCGAGTGCTCGGTGTTGAATGGAAGTGAAAAGCTTGGCACTTGCTCGAACAAAACTACCCAGTAGGTTTTTTTTAATATACTTGCGGTTAACAAGAAATGAAAAGCCAGTCCGTCACCTTGTTCTAACTAATGTATGGAGTGAAACTAAGCCGGTCTCTACTAAATAGGTGAGTTATTAGTGTTTTCCGTGGGTTGTCGGCCATTTGTGACAGTGTGCGCGCTCGAGAAAAAAAGTCCGTTTGTAGTTTTGACTGACATTGCTTTAAAACAGATTTTTAGAACCTCATTGTAAAGGTTACTGAATCTCCTTCCATGGTTACATGGGGTAGTAATTCCATGAAATTGAGTCCGAACCAATGCAGCCAAGTTGTACAATTTCTTGAAATTGGGTATTGCTTCTTGAAATGGCTGCTGAATTCCCACTCGCCCACGCTTCGACTCATTGGCATTTATTTCGTTCTAAATCCTAGGGTGAAGAAAAAACCCGGTAAAATTCTGTTATTTTAAAAAGAGTTAACTTCAATCGAGAATTTCCACAGGGGCCTTACTTGGATCAACTCGGCTTTCATGCCCGGAACGCGTTTGAATCGGCCCACCAGTAGACTTTGAATGTGAGTTGGTGTTAGTTTTTGTTTACAGCAAGGGCACTTGATGGAATTTCCCAGCCAAATCCATTCTTCCAAGCAAATGGTGTGTATGTTAGCTTGGCAGCAGGGTAGTCGCTCCCCTTTGGTTTCCAAACATACTGGACAGACTCCTGACTGAAAAAAAACCTGAAAGAAAAAAAAGGTTTGGTGAATTGACTTGTTTATTTGCCTTTTACAGCTAGTCAGCGTTGCCGGTGGCGAAGATGTCGAAAAAACTGTAAGTAGCTCACTCATTTTTTTTATATAAATATTGTTTGTACTGGACCAGTCGTGGGAATGTTTGGCTTTCGAACTCGTTTCATTTTGTTCGTGCAGAACCTACTGAGAGAATGATTCATTTTAAAATAAACTTTTTGTCTTTTATCGACTTATGTCCAGACCTCGTAAACTGATTATAAAAAAATTGGTTTTGGCAGATTCCGGTAACCTGAAAGAGCGGGAAAAAAAATAAGCCGTGGTGTGTGGCGTCAGCGCCAATCGAGAAAAATTTGGGATTTTCAAGTGGCTTTTTTTTCGGTAAGAGTAAAAAACATTCGAACTCAACCCAGTTGAATCTGACACAGAAGTTGTTTTAAATTAATAAAAGATTTCTTGGATCTATCGGCTTATCGGCCACTTGAGAAAAAAAATCTTAACTTACTGGCGTCAGCTCAGGGGCGTTGTTTTGAATCTGTCAACAACTTTGTGGGGGGAAAAAACCCTGTTGAGAGTCAGCGAATTTCGTACAAAAAAAAATCTCTACTAGGTGCGGGTAGAGGGTTTAAGCATGAATCAAAAACATGAACTTACTTGATGTTTGGCTGTGACCTGGTCATCCTATTCAAACCAAAAGAAAAAAATCACCATTAATACAGCACTGTTCTACAACTTTCAATGCGAGTTTATTTATGTTGGGGTTTTTTTGGAGATAACACGTCAACTGATGTAACTCACCTCATTCATCGATGGCTCACTCATTTTTTTGGTTTGGTGCAGCGGACAAAAACCCAGCCAAGTCTTGTGAAAACAAAAAACTTTGTGAACTACCATACACGCCATCACTAGATTTCAAAAAGTATGAACACGTCAGATTTTTTTGAAAAACGCCATCGATCCACGATATTTAAAAATAACTACACGCCATTTATGCACGGGGTCTCCCTGAAAAAACCACACTCGATTTGTTTACTCGTTCTGCTTATTTTATTAAACAAAAACCCGAATGCGTTATTTACAACATCACAGCCAGAGCCAAAAAAGCCGCATTTTTGAAATGGCACTTGAAGGGGGTTTTTTTGTGCCACTGCCGCTTTGAACGATTTTACAAAATGACACGGCTTTAATAACAAGCCATAAATGTTCTGCTTTGTCCAGCAAAAAATGTCTTTTTCTAATGGTTTAATACAAATGAGAATGCCACGGACAAAATGTCGTTGGCTAATGCTTGAAGTTTTGCTTGTCTATAATCTTGGGACTTTGGACATCAATGACTAGTTGTACAGATACCAAGGGTGGTTCTTGCATCGCCCTGGGCAAAGGTGTGTTCAGTTGTGGACAGATTCGCTGGTGTTGTCGTAAATGGTCTGGTTGCTTGAATTTTTGCATCGGCAAACGGGACACTCGTAGCGCGGTGGTTCGTGTATATCTCGCTGGTGCCGTTTATAATGTTCCAAGCGGACAAAGCTCTTGGGGCACAGGCTACAATGTATCCTAGGCATATTCAGGCTGTGTTTTTCTTGCATATGGCAATTCATGGATTTTCTTTGGGTGAAGGTTTTCTGACAGACTGGACAATCCATGCTATAGTAACAACTGGTACAAAAAAAATGCTTGTGCAGTTGGTAAAAGGTTTTTGAGGGGATGACGCTAGTCCCACACGTGTGCCTGATTTGTTCAAAAAATCTGACGCATTTATTACGCCATTATTGATCACCGCCCCAATTTTTTTTTTCTTGTGGGAAAAAAGTCATGAGGCTGCTGTGTTGATGACCAGTTTGTTGTTTCATAATTTTTTTAGTGCCTTCTAGTTCTAACGCGTGGCGTTGTTTTTGATCGATAAAAAATGCACTCAAAATTGAATTACAGTCCAATTTTTTTAAATTGATATACGCAAAGTACAGTGCTTTTTTTACAAATTACACATGATTTGAAATACTTCCGTGCTGGAAATCTGGTTAAAAAATTCTTCCATCAAGTCAAAGAGTTCTGTGTTTTCCATTACAACTTCTGCGGCAAACTCATCAATAATGGGCGGCTCTGGTTCGCTTGGGTCTGCTTCAAGCTGCTCTGGTTTGCTCAGGTCTGCTTCAGGCTGCTCTATTTCCCTCATCAAAACTTTCACGGCTTCGGTTTGATCTGTGGACGGCTCTGGTTCGCTCAGGTCTGCTTCAGGCTGCTCTATTTCCCTCATCAAAACGTTCACGGCTTCAGTTTGATCAGTGAGCTCTTTTTTTAGCTGGGGACACATTCACTTGAATTTTTTGTGTGGGCAAACAGGGCTCTCGTGGCGCGGTGGTTCGTGTATATCTCACTGGTGCCGTTTATAATGTTCCGAGCGGGCAAAGCTCTTGGGGCACAGGCTACACTGTATCCTGGTCCTATTTGGTCCGTGTTTTTCTTGCTTATGGCGATTCATGGCTTTTCTTTGGGTGAAGGTTTTCCTACAGACTGGACAGTCCATGCTACAGTAACGACTGATATGCTTACGCGGATTTATAAGTTGCTTTTGGGCTGACCCTAGCCCCACACACGTACGTTCATGATGCGCATTCACATTATGCGACAATTTCAACAACTCCACTGTAATTATTGCACCGATCACTGCACTAAACATTGCACCTTTGAAAATTCGTCAGAAGGAAACATTCTGTTCGTTTGCCCAGATCAAGCACAAATCACTCTGCACACTTAAAAAAACTTGCTGTAAATCCTCGTATTCAGTATTTGCATGCTCCAAAAATGACAGTGGTTATCACCATCGCCAACATGCAAGTGTTTTGAAGAGTTTGGAAATGGTGTTTTTTCACCAGCAGATAGCCAAAAGCATCTAGAAAACAGCTGTGTAAAGAATTTCATTTGTTGTCTAATGTTGTCGGTCTTTTGGAATTCAATATATGGTATTCATGCTGGTCGCTTTTTTTTTAATAGAAAGGTGTCGAGAGAGTTTGTCCTCTCAGGGGAACCCCTCCAATTCAGCCAGCATATGGAAAAAAGGTGTGGCCATGGTTAGAGGGGCTGGTCCAAAAATTTATTTGTCCAAAACATTAATAGTTCATGCAAGCCCGCATCAAATTCTTCGGGAGTTGAAACTGAGTTTTTTTCTGGCTGGACAGTACAATTCTTGTTTTATCCCCATAAAAAGGTGTTTGGGGGGCAGTCATCTCTCTAAAACTGTGAAGGCTGCTCTGTTGTGGATGTTGAAAAAGCCTTCTTGAAATCATCGTCTGGATGAAACAACCGTGGAAGAGAGCAGTCTCATCTGCATTGAACATTTGTAAAATAAAAGATCTGCCTCTGGGGAGTTTTTTTTGTCCATCCTGCGATCTGCACCTTTTCTTCCATAATAGATTGGAAAGCTCTGGTCAATTCGTCTCCGTCTATTTTACCAAGTTTGCCACTTTTTTTTATCATAGGAATAATACTATCATAGGAAAAAAATAATATCATAGGAAAAAATAATATCATAGGAAAAAATAATATCATAGGAAAATAATAATATCATAGGAAAATAATAATATTATAGGACAAAAGATAATATCATAGAATTTTCTCCATCAGTCTGTACGTGGCAACGCCTAAAAAATCAAGTGACAACAGGCTACGTATTAGCTGCTTCTAGTCTTGGAATCTTCCACGAACTCCAGGACACGCATAGACCACGTCCGCCCCATGTTTTATCAATCAGTTTCTTCAGTTCGTCAGAATCCAGGCCCTTCTAATTGATATTTCTTTAGAACATATCTGTGTGTCTTGGTGCATTTCTTCCAGCGTGCCATCGGGATGGAGATTGCTGTAGCTGTTGCATTGGCGGGGAAAACAGCAAGGACATCCCTGCCACAGACAGCCGTGGAACACCTAGCTGGTTCGAGTGGTGGGATCGCCTGCTAGCCATGGACATGCCTTCCAAAGGATGAATCATGTCAAATCATTCCTGTTGCACACAAGTTTTTGCAATTGTATATTTTACACCCTGTCCTTAATTATATGTAATAAGCAAATGCTCAAACAAATGCATTTTTTTATGGCTTTATTTGTGATTTTTCTTCAGTGACATTTGAATTTTCAACACTGACGTTGAACTCCTAGCCGGTTCGAGTGGTGGGATCGCCTGCTAGTCACTTGACAACAAGCTGCAAATTAGCAGATACTACGAAGACGAGGAAGGATGCCAGCTCACTTCTTCCAAGTCAGCCCCATGTTTATCAATCAGTTTCTTCAGTTCGTTAGATCCAGGCCCTTCTAATGGATATTTTTTTTTTCTCATCGCATTTTTAGAACATATCTGTGTGCCTGTCTTCGTACATTTTCTTCCAGCATGCCACCGGCATTGATGTTACTGTATTGTTCCCGATGAGGATGGGGATGGCAACGAGGGCATCCGTGCCACAGACAGCCGTTGAACTCCTAGCCGGTTCGAGTGGTGGGATCGCCTGCTAGTCGCTTGACTACAAAGGACCAAAGCGTCATGTTTTGCTTGCGATGGCTAAACTTAAACATGCGTCAAGACGACCAAGAAGGTGGCATTTTTTTTCGTCTGTTCCTTCATGTAACGCTGAGAACCAGTGAGCACACTGGTCTAAAAAACATCTGTGAGGGGAATCTTTACCAAAATTGCATAATAAGGTTGGGGTAAGATTATTTAAAATGTCAAGCCCTGGATTACGACATGTAATTTCAGGCCCATGTAGATGTCTAACAAAGCCAGCAGCAAGCTTTAAAAAATCTCAATTTCATTTATTGTGTATTCTCTCCCAAAAAATGTTACATGGAGATCCATAGGGTTGTTTTTGATGTATTGTGGTGGTGGTATATTAAATAGGGAAGCTGCCAGCATAGCCCCCTATGGCCAGTACAAATTAATTATAAAAAAAATATACATCATCTGTGCAGTTGTAGTTGGTCATCTACAAAATAATTGCACTCTTGTTTAAAAAACTATAAAAAATCCTTCCAAAAATATCTCGTCTCTTTGTGTGGAACCTCTTCTTCTGGGCTGGAATTCCCCCCCCCCCCTTTGCCAGAGCTAAGCTCAAAGTGAGATGGATGGTGTCGAGGTCAAGTGTTTGGTCTGGTTCCATTAGCCATAAACCTCTTGAGGATGGTTTTTGAATTCACATAAGAAGTCTGTCTTGGTAAGTTGGAGGCCATTGATCCAAAAAATAGTTTAGTGCAGTCATGTAAAAACTTGAGAGGACCAGTACCACTGACGACGGTGCTGTCTAAACCATGGGTTGAACACAATTTCAATACTGTCAGTGTTGACTTTCATTGCCTCAGCAAGGGAAGTAGCACCAATGCCCTTGGAATCCAAATTCAACACTGGGAGAAAAAAAAAACAAATTTTTACAGGCTGATGACTGTAATGCTTGACTCAGGTGTAGTGTGGTTACTTTACAGGCTGGTTCCAATAGCCATGTACCTCTTGAGGATGGCTTTTGAATTCATGTAATAAGTCTGTCTTGGTAAGCTTGAGGCTATTGATCCAAAAATAGTTTAGTGCAGTCAATTAATCAATGCATGAAAACTAGAAAGTTACCTCTCGAGCTCTCTCCAGGAGCCCCTTCTTCATCATCATCAAACCCAACCTGGAACCATAAAAAGAAAGATAAGAAAATCTGAACTATTTGTATGTACTTCAGGTTGAAGACAATTTCAATTCTGTCAGCGTTGTGTTGACTTTGAGGGCCTCAGAAAGAAAAGTAGCACCACCAATGCCCTCTGAATCCAAATTCAACAGTGAGAGAAAAAAAAACAAACTTTTTACATGGTGTAACATGCCAGTAAAGGCTCATTTTTTGGTCAAAGACTATAGCAGAACCCACGAGCAAGACATGATGATAATATAAAAAATAAAAATCCTATACTCTAGCTGGTAAATGTTCCAGCTATTTTTCATAGTAATAACCTTGACTGCTCTCTTCTTTTTAGCTGGTACTTTTCTTGTTATTTTTTTCGTAGTAATCTTGTAATAACCTTGACTGCTCTCTTCTTTTTAGTAGCCAAGCAGGAAAGGAAGTAGGTACTTTTGGTCACTTTGGACAAAATTTTGTACATCCTCCCATTTTCTAGGAGACTGGGGGAAAACATTATTAGGTTACAGATGCCAACCTTCCTGTTGCTTGAGGTTTCCAAATCCATTCTCTGGGGACTTTTTTGGCCAAAAGCTTTGTCAAAGTATTTTCTTGCATTTGTCTCCATTTCCTTCTATATCTTTTTTCTGTCTCTCTCGACAGTATTATACCAGCCCAGCTAGCGGTCAACAAATTTTAAATGGACTAAAAAATGTTACTACTATCATAAAAAATATAGCACAAGAAAAAATAATAGAATATAGTATAAGAAAAAATAATACCATATAAAATGTACACACCTTAGAATTATTGGGTTCTTATTCTGTGGTGGAATTCCCCTCTTCAATATAGGTCCTTGTGCAAAAAATGGACCAGTTTGTTGGTCAGATTAAAAAAACCAAATTACAACATCCATTGGTGTGCCCTGGCTTTACTAACCCCCACTGTTCAAACTGCAGAGTACAAACTGATGAATCTTCAGTTGATTACACTTGGTAAACTGCTGGTCACATTTATCAAAGTTACACTGTACCTATAAAATGGTGCAGTAACAGCCCAGTAATTGAGTTTAATATGAATCCACCATACAAGATTCTCCACCAAAACAATTTTAGCTTCTACCCTGCTAATAGGGTTTGAAGAGTCTTTGCTAACCTGCCAAAGTCTAGCAGC